CATCTTTAATTTTTAGTCTTTTTTGAAAAATCTTTTTTTTTTTATTACCATTATAACTAATTCAAATTCCCTTTTGTTAGTATTTTTCTTTATTTGTTGTTATTTATTTATACATCGAGAAACGCCGAGTAGCGGGTTTGTTGGAACTTTTAAATTAGCAAACAAACACATATGTCGTCAAGCAATCAGGGTCTACACACACAATTACAAGATAGTCAAGTTCAATGGTGTAAACCTTAGTGAGCGATCAACATTCTCTAGCCGACTACTGCTTTATCTGCGTACGTTACTAAGAGATTAAAACTTAAACACACATGAATATGGAAAAGGCTGACAACTATTAAAAGCCAATTTTTCACAAGTAGATATTTAAGTAGAGATTTCTGCTTTAGTAAACACATATTCATGCATATAAGCTATTTTAATTGATCTGCCCATGCTTTCATTATCTATCTATTTATTTTATTACTTTAAACGCATTTATAGTGGATACTAGTATTTCAAATAGACGCCATATTTGGATTTTAAACCGTGTGTATTGCGTCTCTCGGCGTGTGCATTTACGAAATCTCAATAAAGAAAATGTTTTCTCCGACAGGAATTGAACCTGCGTCTTCCTCTTGTCGAAACCAACGCTGGATCTGGTGGGCTTTACAGTTTGGCTACAAAAAGCTTCAAAGTTAAGCAATGCCCTATGCCCCCCCGCGCCTTTTTTTATCGAAAGTCTATATATACTTAGTTTCATATCCGAAGCATAAAGAAAGCAATTACTAAAGAATGAATGGATATATTTTCTAACAGGCAAAAATTAGTTCAAGCAGCTTCTTATTATTTTAATCAGTGGGTATTAACACACTCTGAAAATAAATATATTTATTCTTTAAATGTATATATATATATATATATATATATATATATATATATATATATATATATATATATATATCGGCTGTAACAGCAAAATTGTCCAAAATTGTTAGATTAAGTTTGGAACTGTTGTATCTTAGAAGTGATAAAAGATATCTAACTGGAATTCTCCGAGTTTTTTTTTAATAATACTATTAGACTCTACTTTGAGCAATAAAATGTATAATTGCTCACCAAACTTAACAGAAGAATAGTGATGAAATCGATCATAAACGAAAATGACATGTTTATCATCTCTATCTATAAAAGGCAGGATGTGTGTGTGTGTGTGTGTGTAACGAATGCACGGCCGCAATTTTCGATTGATTTGCACCAAAATTTACATGCACATGGTCCCAAGTTAGCGGCAAGGTCAACGCCAACCTTGCTTTTTCAAACTTGCATCGATAGTGGAAAGAATCGATTTTTTCATGCTTCTACGGCAGTTTTCATGTAGTTTGCGGCCATTTTCTACTGGCCAGAGTGAGAGCCTATAGCTGGCTGCCACGAATAGGCAGGAAGATTCTACTGGCCAGCGTGAGAGCCAACAGCTGACTGACACGAATATTAACTAGCATGCAAAAAAAAAAATCGATAGCTGCATTCGTCACAAGTGGGAAAAATTTAAATCTGCATGGCACTACTCCAATTGGCTCATTCGCTTGCTTAAACTCAACGTTGATTCAGATTCTGCAGAACTGGGTTGGGTGTGAAAAAGTATTTGTTGTTAACATTCTTTTTTCATTCGGTTTTTCCAGTTACGAGTCCTTTTTTTTTTTTTAAAGCTGATCGTTTTGTGTTCATTTTGTTTAGTTCTTTTGTCGTAACAGATTTAATGTTTAGTATACAGCTTAAAAAAAATTCGCAGTGTGAGATAGGCAAGAAGTAAGGCATGTAGCAACATCAGCACGGCAAAGGGCACTCCTTTAAAGGCAAGGAAGGGCAAAAGCTGTATGAGTCGCACGCTTTTTTGAATCAAGTACGGGCAACGCCGGCCCATGCTGCTAGTTAGTTAATAATTAATCTCAGTATCGGAAGCTCATGAAGAATTGAAATAAATATATATATATATATATATATATATATATATATATATATATATATATATATATATATATTCCAGGATTATTTTTCAACTTATGCAAAATTATCTTCACCTTCTCTAACCTTCAAACTTTATGTCCTGGAGTAACAAGGTGCCTTACACGTTTCACGAATGATTTAATTTTTAAGTCTTTGGATTGTCATAGCTGAAACTCCTCTTTAACGGGACAAACGTTTTATAGATTTAGTTGGATCTTTTCTAATTGATCTCTTTAGCTCTAAGTTGAAATAATGATCCCTCTTCCTGTTGTGGCCTCCTGATCCAGTTTTACTCTCTACTTTTTCCTCATTTTTAAACGTATTCACCATTCTCTTGATCTTTCTTAAATGGATTTTGAAGATGGAATCCAAAGTATGATTTTTGGTACCATTACTAAAGGCCTGAATGATCATTTTCCTCGGATCATTGCTCAATTAGGAAGACATAGTTGGGCTGACACAAAACGATTTTAAGCTGTTCTCTTTCTAGCTGAATAACTCAAAAGGTTTTTCATTGATTCTTACGACAAATGGTGGCAAGATGGCTAAACTTGTTATCTGAAAAAAAGAAACTAAGTTACTTTAATGTTTTTTTTTTAGATGTTAAACGTTTTGTGAGATGAAAAATTCTGCTGTTTCAGGATTTGGACAGTTTTGTTGTTACACCTGGTATATATATATATATATATATATATATATATATATATATATATATATATATATAATGAATGAAGAATATATATAAAAGAATGAAGCCACGTCCAGAATTAACATGGAATGAACTTGACAGAAGAGTGAAAAATTAAAAAAGAGCTCTTAGAGTCATTGAAAAAAGAATGCAATCAATTATGAAACTTATACATTGAGAAACTTTTGCAAGGAATGCCAAAAATTTGTGCTACAATAATGAAGGCTAAAAGAGGATATTTTAATTCGGTCCTCACCGCGTGTCCCACACAAGAACTTGACATTAAAGAGTAATGTAATGGTTGACAGGTAACCAATGATGAAAGGTCCCATAGCAAATTGGGCTCAGCTGTAATAGGCAACAGTATCGAAATTTATTCACAAGGACCTGCCTTATAGACTAGGAATTATAATCTAGTATAAAATAAATTGAAACCAGCCAGCAATGAATAAAAGTGCGATAGTTTCGTCTAAACCGGAACTTAACACAACACACACACACACACACACACACACACACACACACACACACACACACACACACACACACATTCCATCTCTCTCTCCCCCCACTCTATCTCTCTCTGTCTCTCTCAACTCCCAGCCAACTTCAGGTAGGTCAATCCAGAAGCATTTCGACATCTCAAGGTCTTTCGTTACTATAAATAGCGAGGGTGTATCTCGGCCAGTCGCATATTTTACAGCATTTACACACACACACACACACACACACACACACACACACACACACACACACACACACACATATATATATATATATATATATATATATATATATACATATATATATATATATATATATATATATATATATATATATATATATATATTATGGAGGCAAGGTAGAGTAATGGATAGCGCCTTGGATTGAGGAATCGGAGAGTTGATTTTGAATTCCAGTGGAATCCATGACATTCACTTATGTGCTAATTCCCTTTGGAAAGGTATGAATCCTCTTCTCCCTCCAGCTATGGGTAAAATAGCAGGACAGACTGGGTTCTATAGCCTTGGATGGCAACTGGTCTAGGAGAAGGACAACTCTGAAGTCAAAACCTGCGGAGGGTCGTTTGGTGACCCTGTGGCACGTAGTGCACCAAGTCACTGTATTCGGCCCTTCAAAAAGTGTGGATTGTTCTGCACAAAATCTTCCCCACTATAATCAAATCTCATGTGCTGGTGTCGGGCTGTCAGTTTCCTAGGAACTGATCTGCTTGACCTTCATACGTCGACGGGAGAGTCGAGTATATATATATATATATATATATATATGACTAGTTCTCGATACGAAAAAGAACTGATTCCTGTCTAAAAGACTTAGGTCAGGCCATTTCTTCAAATTTTGTGAATTCGGTCTCGTTGAAAACTTTTCCGAACCCCCTTCCATAAAATCTCCAAGCAGATGACAAATGTTTCGTTATAGAGTAGATAAACTTTTTTTAAAGTGCTATCCACAGCGTCCTATTCACCAAAATTATGCCAAGACGAATTTTCAATGTAACGTATCATATAGGCTACAGTTTTGTGAGTAAGTGTACAGCTTCAGACACCTGGAAACCACAAAATGCCCCTCGACAACATTCTTATGACATCGATAATACACATTAGATGATAGAAAATAATAAAAGACAATAAAAGATGTAAACGATAATAATGTCAATTTTATATATATTTTTTTTTAAATTGTGCATATGTTATTGGGAAAGTGAGATGCAGTTAGACGGAATATAGTCAGGGTTTCACAACACAAAAAGAAACAATTTTTTTTTAAAGCTAACAAAAACGTACAACGACAAATAAAACGACAGATACAGCGTGCAAAAAAAAAAAAAAAAGGAAAAGAAAAAAATAAAAGACACAATTAAGTAAAAAAATGTCACTTACTGAAGAAGGAAGCAACTTGTTTTTCAAAAGGCTCAACTAAAACATACGACAAAAAAACAATTCGTGAAAAAAAAGCGGAATGGGGTAGAAAGGCATTTATTATATACAGTATACAACATCTTGATAAAACAC